TCTGTCTTCTGGGTTATTGCGCTGTGTAGTCTGGTCGATGTTAACCAACGTTTCAGAGGTCATACTGCCTCCGTCATCAGGGCGATGAATATGCCCTGATGACGGAGGCAGTATGACCTCTGAAACGTTGGTTAGCATCGACCAGACTCCACAGCGCAATAACCCAGAAGACGGATATCTTCAGTAAGCTTTGTGATTTAAACTTTTCTAATATTATTCAGGAAGTTAAACAGGAAGGTTCCAATATGCCCCAGTTGTAGCGTATTGTCTTCCAGCATACAGAATGTTAATGGTAACACCTCACTAATGTTTTGGTAATTTAGTTCAAATACCAGAGAAGTAAAATTAGTTTATCAAATGCTTATCACTACATGACAGCTGTTCGTTGCAATCTCCTTTCTAGTAATTGATAACGCCTCGTATCACAACACTCAGACAGACAAACCACCGACGTCTAACACAAAGAAGGAACAAATGAAAGCCTGGCTACTCGATAGAAACATTCCATTTTGTGATGTGTTGAAAGCTCAACTGTACGATTTAATCAAATCAAATAAGTCAAACCACAAATATTATGTGATTGATCAGATTTCAGCAGACAAACAACGTACTTTGCTGAGACTTACGTCGTAAAATCCCGATTTAAACCCCATCAAACTTATTTGGGCAGATGTAAAATAATGGGTTGCAAGGAAGAACATAAGCTTTTAATGTAAATGATCTGGAGCTTTCATGGTGACTAAGTATAATGAATTCTTCTTGGGCTCCCAGCCATGTACATTAAAAGCTTTTACTTTCAGTAACAACAGTTTTTTACCCGGTGGTCTTACATAGTCAACTATTTATTTTGTTAAACTGAATGTAAGTACATAGGCTAAGGGTTTGTTCGGATGTTAAAATATTATTTTAATTTCTATAGTTAATTCATCACACTGACATCTAGAAGGCAATTTGTACATCATTAATAGATATGTCAATTATTTTAAACCAGGTGGTGATACAGTGGCTAAAGTGGACACAGTTGGCTAGACTGTAGGCTGTAACTCATCTGTCATTGGCCATTGTAGACTGAGTGTTGGGCTTTAAATAAAATTATTGTACAAAGTGTTACATGCTATGAACGGACATGATATTATTTTCTCTCGTTTTCAACATTCATATCACATCGACAGATCCTGAGCTCAGTTACTGGCTAAGTTAAAGAACCCTCACTCGGTCATCAAATGTAAAATATCACCGCCTGACTCTTTCAACTGTTCCTAATGTATGCATTGGCAGGTACATCCATCATATAACTTTTTTTTAATTAATTTTTCATAAAAATTAGATTAACAATTTCCTGTGTTTGTATGTTTGACAACTCTTATTCTGTGTTTTCATTTATTAAACCTTCCGAGGAAAAGAAAATTATATATTTACTCTGCTAGCCTATAAATATTTGTGTTATCACTGGTCACTTTTACTTGCCACGACACCTTCAATATACGAGGTGCCCAAAAAGAGCTCTCCAGTTGTCCCTATTCTCGGCTTCTCGCTTTAATTCCTGGAACGTCATCTTCTTTCCTTGTTTAAGGTCGTCGGTTAGCTGTATCAATCTTCTTCCTAGTCCTCTCTTTCCTTCAACCTGGCCTTCGATGATATCACTCAGTAACCCATTCCTTCTCATAATATGTCCCAGCCAGTTAGCTTTCCTTCGTGTAACTTTTTTAATTAATTTGTCATAAAAATCAGATTAACCATTTCCTGTGTTTGTATGTTTGACAACTGTTACTCTTGTGTTTTCATTTATTAAACCTTCCGAGGAAAAGAAAATTATATATTTACTCTGCTAGCCTATAAATATTTGTGTGATCACTGGTCACTTTTACTTACCACGACACCTTCAATATACTTCAGATTATTTCTTGGTGTTTGGAGTTGGTTATAAGGAATTTTCTTCAGCGATTCGACAACACATAACCTGAACCTGTTACAAAGTCATGTTTGTATTCCTGGTTTAAATCATTGTGTAAAACTAAAGGATACTTGAACTGCATTACAGTTTGCATAAAACATGAGCCTTAAGACACAATAACCGTACAGGGCCATGCGTAGTTTCTTAATTCAAAATGTATTTCAATCAAACACATTCACACACTTCACGTCTTTGCACACACATCATCCCACTTAATGGAACGTTCCACCTGCATTAACTTTTCACTAAAAGTACAAATTAATATTCTGGGCATTCTTTATGTGAAAAGAATGTAATTTGTGAAAAGCCGCACTGTCACAATGAATTTTTAAGATATTTTATGCTGACAACAGTCACTAAGTTCTTAAATAATAAACCAAAATGATAAATCAAAACAATGCATTCTTTTATATTAAAAAATATAAATTTAATTACAGGTCTATATAAATAATATAGCATATGTCACAATAAGTTTTAATGTGAAACCTGCTAATACTTATCTTGTACTAATAATGATTGATCAACATTAATACGGAAATAATGCAGCATATAAAATATTTATTTGTTATATATGCAAGTCACATACCCACAGAAGGAATATAATGTAGGTTGACTTATTGAAGCTGGGGACTATAAATTTATTTGCGTATTGAATTTATACAGAATAAGTGTGCATCTTTCCAAACTACGTCTAGTGATCTGAAAAGTGACATTCACTGAGTAAAACCGCGGACACGGGCACGAAAATGACGTCTTCGGATAAAGTATCTGATAAACGAAAAGCCATGCGTAAAATTTTGTGACAAAAGTATCTGATAAACGAAAAGCCATGCCACTATTCCAGTGCTATTCAAAAATAAAAACAAATAAATCAGGAAGAAACATGGCGAATATCTTGAATCAGTGCCTTCCAAATTTGTGTTTGTAATGTTGCTGGTACCACAACATGTTCTGATACTCCGCCTCGTATACGTCCGGTATGAGGTTTCCCGCAGCTTGGTTGTGCACCATGGACACCGTGGCAGCACCGAACAACCGCCTCTCGAACTCGATCAGCTGACTGAAAAAGCCACTGTTCGGCCGGATCGAAGGTCGTCTCGACCTGAGATAGCTGAAAGCTTTCCTCAGAGGCATTCTCTCGTGTTTCATGAGGTAGGCAAGGCACAAGGTGGCAGAGCGGCTGACTCCCGCCACACAATGAACCAGCGTCTTGCCATCCGCACACCGCACCTGAAGGCACATCACATTATATCAGTTTTTGAACATAATTCTGACATCGACGTCCATCACATTGTACCAATTTATGTATTAATTACATTTCTAACTTAGCTACTTAAGAAATTCCCCCACCCTTTATGAAATCCAAAGTGTTCACAAGAGCCGGCTATCAGTTTAATTTGTTAATAGTCCATGAAACATGGTAAAAAAACCCAAAATTTTATTTAAATAAATAACAGTGTTCGCCCTTAGTAGCTTTCTCTCGAGGTTACTGTATTGATGTATAAGATCAACTTCATTAGCCGTTAACATTCGGTTGCATTGATTTCTACAATAAATTACATTTTTATAAACATCAAATATAACATTATCTTCAAATAAACCATAACTGTTTTTTCCTCAGTCATTTCCAGTGCCCGGTCCGTACCACGCTCTCATATGATTTGGACCAATCGTCGCAGAGGTTTAGCTGTCCTACGTAGTCTGTATTCGGGAAGTCCCGGGTTCAAATCTCGGATCGGAGGTCATGTCACTGCATTGTTATTAACTTGTATATTTTTTATTTAGTGTTCTGTCTGAGGACAGTTCCATATGAACAGGATCCTTCCATCCTTTTCTCGGACTGGGACCTGTTCATATACGTTCTTGGCAGATGATCCAGAAGTGGTTTGCCATTGCCTTCTTCTGTGTGTGAATGGAGTAATTGTTGGGATGCCACGGAGGAAAACTCCGTGTTGCCTAGACCACGGCCTTGCCCAACACAAGTTATAAATTCGGGCACCGCCGGGAATCGAACCCGAGACCCCAGGATTACAAGGCCAGCGTTCTGACCGCTACCACCGTGGCTGTATTAACTTGTACGTGGTGATAATGGTGCATGAGTAAGGTATGAAGACGCATCTGATTCTAAACGTCGCTGAAGACCAGTCTTCGTGGACATTGCGCATGCGTATATGTGTGCGCGCGCAGAATTTTCTGTGGGCCTTGCAAATAATGTTATAAACAGACTATTTTAGACTGGAATGCAAGTAATTCCACTTATTTCTTTCCACTCGACACATCAAAAAGTCACGTACTGCGTTGGAATTCACCCACTCACACATTTTATGCGAAACTTCTAACAGGAATTTAGCTGGCTATGCCAGAACATAATATTTAGACAATGTAAAAAGAAAAAAAGATGGCTGTCTTCACAGCCATCTTGATACTCGTCACAGCGAAAACCTGAAACCTCACGGGTGCTTTGTTCGTTAAAAATTAGAAGAGTGCTTACTGTTCCTTCTTAATTTATGGACAGACGCCGCGAACATTTTTTGAAATTATAAACGTACAAACACATCATCACTGAGCAGGCTAAGTGAATCACTTGGCGTTTTAATCGATAATCAGGCTATAACTGCAAGTTAAATTTCTCCCTAAGGCACTTCCATAATAAATGGTGATAATCTTTAAAAGCAACTTTTTAAAACAAAAGAATTAGTGTTTAATGATGATAATAATAATTCTAACAAACGTATCTCCAATCGTCTTATAATTAGAATTATAATTCTTCTACCCCCTGATATTTATGCAGATGAAATCTCATGAATGAATAAGCAACGTCGAAAAATTACTTCATCTGTGACTCAATCTGTTTCAGCTGGTGTCAAGGGGTTGAGTCAAAGGCTTTGTTTCTGCCATAAGAAGTGCATTTCATTTCACTCCCACCTGTGCGACAGGGTCGATTTGAGACTGGGAACTACCTTGGAACGTGTTCAATGTACGGCTTTCGTTCACAGGAAAAGATTACGAGTTATTCATACAACTAAGCGGTCAGTTTAAAAATAACTTCATTACTACGTGCGTTGAGGCAAAAACTGTTTGGTTGTACAACAGCTGATGGACAACGAAACAGACCTGGAGGAAACTGACCTGACGAACAAATCCGCCGACCACCTGAAGGGGTGTCTAAACGGGGAAGTCTGAATGGCCACACAATCAGGGCGAACATGAAAAAATCCCACTAGCATTCGAAGGAGAGTCGAAGTGGGGACATTCGAAACAAGGGTGTCCATCAGTTCACTGGTGACACACCTGGCGAAATACAGAATGTGGCACCCCTTACGAACAAGGACTCTACTCCACAATGCGTTTTCATATATTCGTAGACTTTTAAATCAAAAGGATCGAAAACGGAAAACAGAAATTTCCGACGACATCTCGTACGAAAATTGGTTGAAATTGGTGAGAGTTTTCCTCATTTCCGCTGTTACATTGCAGACAGGCTGTTAAAAAAAAATCCTTTCTCGACTCGAGGTCAATTTCATCAAACATTTGCCACGAGTAACTACAATAAACCCAGAATATGGGTCGCTAATAATTTGAAGGACAACTCTCAGGGAACAGGTAGCCGATAATGGTCCTGATTGCCTGGAGTATTTCTGCTTAGAATTTCCCATCGAGATGCTTTACATGTACAGAGTGATTTTATTTACAAATTCAGAAACAAGGGTGTCTAGGCAACACGGAGTTTTCCTCCGGGGGCTTCCCCGGTTTCTCCGTGGCATCCCAACAATTACTCCATTCACACACAGAAGAAGGCAATGGCAAACCACTTCTGGATCATCTGCCAAGAACGTATATGAACAGGTCCCAGTCCGAGAAAAGGATGGAAGGATCCTGTTCATATGGACCTGTCGTCAGACAGAACACTAAATAATAAAAATAATAACAGCGATAGTTATCGATTATTTTACAATCTGTCACCTGGAGTAATATTATTTTGCAACATCCATTAATTAGTATTCACGTCCTGGGTGTATGATCGTAAATAAAGAATCTGAATTCTTTGTCTCGGTTGACAAGATCAGGACGTGGTATGAATTTCAGTTTGCATGATTTGTTAATTGTAGGCGAATTACATATACACAAGTAAATTATCTTTTGTACACATACAATTCAATAAATCTGAAAATAATCTCGCAGTTTAAATAAGATTCTCACTAATCGAATAATTTGGTACGAAAATAGGAAAACTCCAAATGGCCGACTCACGTTGTTCGTTGTTTAAATGATTATGATAGCAAGACCAACAGCCTCATATGTTGTTGTTAGTGGTACATAAATCCCTTTGCTTCTCAAGGTAATAAAATAAATTAACAATTTCTCTTCATGCAATACTGGGTATTTAAAAAAAACTGTCACTCCCAAGAAAAATAGGTCACTTATCCCCTTTTAACACCAAAGTTTTAAATTTGGCTGAATAATCGAGGATTTATAGCCGGAGACAGACGGTGTCACCACTGACCTCCTCTATCATGTCTGCGACGAAGTCCATGTGAGAGAGAAGGTCTACGTTCGGTCTGTCCTCCACGCCCACCTTAAAGTAGGCAACCTGTCGGTCTTGAGGTAGTGGAGTGTCGGGCAGCTCTGAGGCGGCGTTCACGACGCAAGAGACCCCCAGCTCTCGCAGCAACCCCGGACTGACGGCGGGGGCAGCGCTCAACAACAGACACTCTGTCACCTCACACACCGAGGTCAACGGAGACTTCTCTCTGATCGCTCTGCAGAAACAGAGAACACAGAATCCTCTACCCTTTCGATATTTAGAAATAAGACTTTGTGTTGATGAAAGATGGCTTATGGTGAATAAACCATTTATTATGCCAACGTTTCGACAACCATCTCTGCTCTCATCCTCAGGGCAGCTGCGTAACAAAACTGGCTGCCCTGATGATGAGAGCAGAGATGGCTGTCGAAACGTTGGCAGAATAAATGGTTTATTCACCATAAGCCACCTGACGCGAAACCCGAGAGTCATTCATCAACTTCAGTAGCCGCGAAAGCTTCATTGTATACATAAGAGTTTATATGTTTATGTATATTAAAGTAAACCAGGGGTGGGGAACCTTTTCATGTTGGAAGTCCGCATTCAAGAAACTTAAATTAGATATACTTAAAAATGTACATTATTTTGTAAAAATCTAACTACTATGTACTTAATAATTTCAAAAAAAATGAAAACTATTTGTTAATTTTAGAGTTAACTAATCTTTTAATGATTTCGTTGCGTCTGATTTTTGTTGGAAAGCATTTGAATGTTTGGTTGCAGCATGGAGGCCCGCAGTCTCAGTTGATCCTAGGATTTGTTCTGTAAAATTTGGATTCAGTCTAAAGGCCGCACTTAATGACCTAGAAGGCCACACGTGGCCTTAAGGCCGCAGGTTCTCCACCCCTGACTTAGATGTTTTCATCGTGAGTTTAATAGTTTCCCCCGATACAAATTGTTGTGAATTATTTCAATATCTGGAACAGTTATTTCTTAATCCAAATCGAATGTATAAGTTTTACGATTACAATTTGGAAATAAAATTTTAAAAAAAGGCTCTATGAATATATGAAACCCGCTCTCTGTGAAGCTGGGATTTCATTTATTAATACTCGTTATTAACCCTTTGAAGGCGAAGATCGTCTGAATATTATTTGTGAATTCAGTCCGTACCGCGAAGAAAACACTTCACTTAACCATTAGAAGTCGAATTAGGCGGTACCACATAAGATTTAACATCCCGGTCAAAGCCTTAAGAATCGTTTAGATTTTAAATTAAAATGATTTTACAATCCTTACCTTTCTATTGATCCATCCTGAATATTTTCACTTGCTAGGATTGTCTTCTCTTTTGGAATGATTGTTTCTTCGAATTTTGAAACATCGCCACGTATGATCTTCATAATGATCAGAACGGAATGCTACAAAGTAATCTTGGCGAATTTACTTACGTAAGTCTTTTATACAGCGCGACAGATTCTTCTTTTTCACAAATTCAGCTTTGACTTTTGAGCATTACATGTTCGAAAAATTTACGCTGATTCAGAACTAAAATAACTTCACCTTGCATTAAACGTGAACTTTTCGCGAAAGTTCTCCGGACTAGCTTTTGTGCTCTGATCTGTAACGAGGCTCTCCTTAGCGCTATGCTGACGTATCTGATGAGGACGCCTCTCAGACATTCGCTACTCACCGCTCACCTGTTTCGGGGAATCCTCTTCTCAGCGCATGCCCAGAAGACAGGAAAACATCTTCATCAAATCCGACGACTGCCGTGTTTATATTGTTTTTCTTATAAAATAGAATGTCAATATAGGAACTGAAGTGGGCGATTAATATTTTGAATCCTGACAAATGTATTGTTCTATAATTATTATATTTATTTTTAAAATGATCATGCAATGTTGCGAGAGTTACAAACCACATTCCTGAGCATTCTAAGTTTAGAACGCAGGATAT